TTCGTAAGTGGATATCGCTCTGCTGTTTAGTAGGTTACAAATTGATCATTGTAAGTATAATGAATTGTATTAAACTTGAATTGAATGATATAATATCATTGTATAAGAAAAAAGATTCTGAGCGGAGACGGTTTATCAGTCTCGATTTTTTATATTTTCATTATATATTATAGCCATTAAGTTGAATATATATTTTAATATTACTAGCTCCGTCCTGCGTGTTCCTCTGCCGCGGATAGTTGTTTGCAAATAATGGAGCTGTTGCTTCTGCAGTGAAGCATAAGATTTTTTATTTTTCTAAATATATATGAATTATATTTTGGTCAATGTATGAATAAACCAGTCAGGAAGGATGACATACCGGTTAGTAATTACAAAATCAATTTGAAATTAAGCCTACATCCTGGTGTGCATTTAACTGTTTTATTATAAAAAAGAAAATCAAGAAAATCAGATAAGTAGTTTTAGAGAAGAACATCCAACACAATGATCCCATTTCCACATATATTTATTGCGGATAATTTGCACTTAAATATTTGAATATAGAAGTAAATAATATATATTTAGATTGTTGATTTTACTTCTCAGAACAATTCATTTGCACAAGCCGATAAAACACACACAAAATAAAAAAGGTCATGTTACAAGTAGCTTGAAACCCACAGGTTCTATAGATACTAGCTCGGTCGGTCAAGGGAATACTATCGAAAAAATTTTAATTTTGGTGCAAATCGCTATTTCTCACTACCTGAGGGTGGTGCAAATTACCTACCCTTATTTTGGTACAAAATACAAACACTACTTTCGACTACCTGCAGTGGTGCAAATTACATATCTTTAATTTGGTGCAAATTACAAACTCCCCAAAATAGCTCATGTAATTATAGCTAAGTAGATTAACTTTGGGTTTTAATTTTTCAAGAACTTCATACTTATTTTTTTACTAATAAAAGTGGTATTAAAACCTTCACCAGAGTGTCAGGTGTAACAGTAAAAAATTTGGTGACGATACGTTGAATGGTGTGGATTTGTATGCGTTAAAAAATCTCTAGACTTGCTTTTATAGTATAAATAAATTTCGACCAATAAACAAAAATTATTCAAAACTAACAACTAAAACTATAGCAATCATAACCAATAGCAACCTTCAAATAAAAAAAATATTATATTAATATGTTTATTTTTCTCCTGGACAGATTGCGACACTATTGTATTTTTGACTTCCAGATTTCCTACTTTTCCGTCGGATTTTCCTAAAATTGTCTTTCATAAGAATCTTGTCCTCACAATTAAGAACATAACAAAAAAAGAATAAGCGGAATCGGTCAATCAGTTTCGGGGCCAACCAGCAACAAAGATTTCTACTTCACTTTTATAGTATAGATAATTTTTTATTCGTTGCTACCGTGATAAACAAAGCGTTAGAAATTAAAATCCCATTTTGAGCGGTTTTTCGTAATTTGTCTATAGTTTTTCCAGTGACTTTTAATAACTATTGATAAAAACGAAAAATTACCTGTCTAAAGTACCATCTAGATCAAATTTACTAAAAGATAAGGTACAATACGTTGAAATCAAATCACTCCTTCTGATAGAAATTTTGTATACAGGAAAAAAAAATATAATAATAAACACCATTGTAACACCATTAGCTTCCTCACTCGGCTCAGAATCTAAAATTCTGAATATTAACACATTAATATTATATATATTTTTTTTTTATATATATATAAAGGCTTTTTTTTATTATAACGATCAATGATCTTTAACAATACATTTAAGAGGTGTATATACATATTAAATATTAATAAATTAATGAATAAATATTTAGTAATTATATACAAAAAACATGTTTGGGTTATCAACAGAGGAGAGGTCCCAGCCTTAGTCTAATAATTTATACCAAGTCATATGGTCTTTGGCGTTTGAGACGCCTATTGTCTTGAGAGTTATCAAGTAGTTGAGTTGCTGCTGGATTGGTGTGTTTATCTAATCTTTTCGGCTATCTTGTCGTATGCGCTCTACGCCAGATTGTGGCCTACCTGTGATTACGGGACACTTATTATATGCGCTCTACCATGCAATTTGTAATAAAGATTAGGACTCTCTTTTCCTGCATCATTAATTTTTGATCACATATTTAGACGTTGATCCTCTAGAAAACGGAACAAGAAACTATGGAAGACGGCTTGATGGACCATGGGTATTCGGCTATCGTTGTCCAAAAAAGGGACAAAATGACTTTGCACTAAATTATACAAAGATAGGTTATTGTTGGGTCTACAATATATTCCGATAGCTGGTCAGGGTATAATGGACTCTCGAACCACGGGTACAATCACTAAGTCGTTTTACGTTAATTTCGTAGATCCAATATCAAAGGCACATACCCAAAGGATTGAAAGTTTATGGCGGCCTCTGAGGCTAAAAATTGTGAAAAATATGTGTGGTACAACTCTAAATTTGCTTCATTGCTCCAGATCTTCATTAAAACCACTTTTACATCATCCCACTTATTACGAGAATAATTATTGTCTAAAATCTAAATATAATTGTAGGGTCACTAGGGAAAAACACGGTAGTGCTCATACTGCAGTCGCAATGTTGGCGGTGGAGCGCATACGACAAGATAGCCATATTTTCTCGTGTTTTCTGGCAAACTTAAAAATTTCATCCTGGACAGAGGTCATCATCAAATCTCGGTGGATAATGTCATTTCTATCCTACCGGTATGCTGCGACAATAGTACAGAGAGCAATGTTTTGACAACGTTGGATAATTTCAATATTGGACTTACTGGCACAGCCCCACAGCTGTATTCCATAGGTCCATGTTAGTTTAATTATCGCTACATACAAAAGACGTTTGTGTGTGAGATCTAATTCGGAGTGTCGACCGATCAGCCAATAACGTTTCCTCAATTTCAGTTTAATTTGCAGTTTTTTCTAGCGAACATGTTTCTGCAAGATGATCTGCTGATAAAACCATACTGGGTAGTATATACACTTTTACGCAAAGTATAATTTACGTGTACCGATTTGTCTCTGCTAATTTTGATTTTCCAACGCTTAGTCCAATCGGAGGCGTTGTTAAGTGTCGTTGAAGTTGATCAGTCGCAATTTGCTCGTCTTCATCAGTTGCCATTATTGCTGTATCATCGGCCAACATAGCTGTCATTGAGTAGTTGGTAGTTGGAATGTCAGCTGTGTAAAGTAAGTACAAAAGAGGTCCGAGGACACTGTCTTCTGATACTCCAGCTGATATGTTTTTCCAGTCAGTTATTGTTTCATCGTGTATGACTCTGAACTAACGTTCAGTCAGATAGGATTCAATGAGTGCGCACCAAATCAAGTTAAATTGATTACTTCATGACCTTGGTCGTATAATTCACTTTTTATTAGACCCAGATCTGAGTCATGATTTATACCTCGCAACACAACTCGAAACGGTTTTTCACTTTTCAATTGATACCGATGGTAATCAATATTATTTTCTTCTAACGTCTTTATTGTACTTCTGAATTGACTTTCATTTGTTGTCAGTATTTTTGTCTCATTATTTGATAAAATTTTGAAATTCTGTTCTTGCCCTACTGGTTAATCGCACGTTAGTAATTTTTTTAGTTTATCAAAGTGTTTCACACCTTTGATGGCTATTGGTGGAGGTTTATATACTTTTTGAGTAACTCTATTTAATTGATTTTTAATGTTTTTTTGTGTAGGTTTTTCACCTACGTTAACATTATTAGACACTGACGCATTAGAAATGGGAATATTTAATTGTGACTTCTTAGCTTCCAATGCTAGTTCTTCGTTATTAAGTTGTAATAATTTATTACTTGCCTGCATTAAGGATAATTCTTGGCGGAGTTCATTGTTAGTTCGCATTAATTCTGATATTACATTTTGCATTTGCTCATATGCCGGCTGTATGTCAGAGTTCATGACGGTGCACTACAAGCGACGTTGGAAACCACCGGTACGCCGTTGCTCGTGTGACCTACTTAATTATACAATTTTAACACTTACCAAAGTCTTGTTTGCGTGGTAAGCATTTTTCATGATATTTGAATTACTGTGTTTAGTCTCGGTCTAGCCTCGGAAGAGTTCAATCACCACTGTGACACGACAATTTTATATATTAGATTATATTATTGTGTAAAGCAATATTTGAGTTACATATAAAATATAATATACTGGAAATGCTACCAAAAATATAGAGAGGTCATTAAGTATTTATTATTATATTAGTTAACTAAAGTCTTAATTGTACGTTTTTAATTTAAAAAAAAAAAAAAGTTTTATGATTTATGTTTTTAAAGGTGGCTATAGGTAAAATAGTGTTTTTTTTATGGAATTACTTCTTATAGTGGTTATTTTTATAACTAATTGTATAGACTAGGTATGGACTTTTTTATTTAACGACACAATGATATACCTACATTTAATTTCATTTTTATGATACATTAGCTTCCCAGATTATCTACTTAACATTCTTAATAAACATATCATTATGGAAATATCATTGACGGAAATTGCTGCAAGACTGCGCATTAACAAGTTTAAAAGTTAAAGTTAAGTTAAAAAGTTAATTTAATTAAACTTTTTGACTTAAATTCTTGCTTTTGCAATGTTCCCATTAATTAAACTACAAGCTTAACTTAAGTGCTTTTAAATAATCGAGAAATCAACGATGTCAATTTTAATTTTATTTATTTAGTTTTCTATTTTATTTTATTTATTACATTTCAATCGATTTTGTATTCTTATCAAAATATATTTTAGGTCATGTTTGGTGATATAATTAGTTAATTAAAATAATCTTATCGGAAAATATACAATTTATATTAATTTAGAACATTCGATAATCACAATACCAGTGTTAAAAACAGAATAGTTTATTTTTTTCAAAGATTAACATAAGGTGAAAATTGTATACCTACTGTAAATAATAGCTGAGACCAGAAGTCAAAATTACAAAATTATAAAATTTCATATTTTCTACATATCTTCGATATATTTTTTTGAATCACCGTGGTCCAGAATACAATAATTTTGATTCTTGTCTACATTTAATGTTTTGAACATATTCGGGAGTTGCTCGACGAATTCGATTAACTGATTTTCAATCCACTCGGTAAACACGCAGTTCATACAAATATACAACATCATAGACTTACTTTCAGTATTAAAACCAATTCGTGAATTGTCCTTTGTCTCAAAATGTTTTGGCGAGCTGTACATGTATATCCTGTGTTCCTTACGATTGCCATCGATACCAATTAAAACAACCAATGTTACTCCCCTATCACTTCGATAGCCCAACATCGATTTGTCAATATATTGTAGTCTATAATCATGACGAACTTCGAACGTTCAAACTGAAGGAAGAATTACATCGCCGATAAAATCGAATTCATATCCTATCGTCGGAGGTGTTTCGTCTGCAGCACCATATTCTGACGTTGTTGTTGGAAATGTTAAAGAGGGTTATGTTTTAACCGATAACATTAATTTATTTAATAATTTTATAACGTCATCGGTATTTGCCAACTGCACACTATTTATCATAGATAGATACTAGATAAATTGTGATATAATTATATTTAATAAATAATATGTATTATGGATTGGAAACATAATCGAAAGAAATTGTTCAACTTTAACGAGGCTTTAGTTTATTTATTATTAAAACAATGAAAACTATTTGAAATAAAAAAAAAATGAGCAAACGAGGGGGTTTTTATGTTAAGGGGTACAAGTAAATTTTCGGTAGTTTTCAGTGGACGCAAAGAACCTTACAATCATACATTGTCAGTAAATTAAATTTTTTTTTAATTTATTTTTTTTATTAGCTTCTAGCTATCATAACTATGATAGCTGGAGGATTACAAAATATTACAAGTATAAAATTAAATATGACAATATGATATACATTAAAATATATGTAATATATTATTACAGTAATAATATGAATTGAAGACCTATAAGGTACAAAAATTACATTTACATAACTGGCGATTAAAAATATTTTAATTCAATTTAATTATGAGATAAGAATGGTAATCGGAGTATCTTACTATGGAACAAGCTGTTTATTTAGAACAGATGAAAAGAGCGTAATGAGGAGAGTGATTAAAAAGGAAAGTTCTGATATAAATGTAGTTAAAGTTAAAACTTTATTGATATTATAGAATAAAAAACTAAAAATTGAAAACTGTAAATGTTTGTAAACAGCTCAAAAAAGAGTCAAAATATTTTTAAAAAGTAATGGTGTATAGGAAATGCTAATATAAACATTCAGTGAAATTTTCATGTATCTAGTACTATCTACAGTTATTCGTTTTGAATTACAACAAAATAAGGAAATCGCTACATGAGAAATCGAGTGAATATCCAATGTTGTAAAAATTTGAATTTCAAACGCTCATAAAATTTTAATTTGACTTTCCGGCAGAGATTTTTTTATTGATAAAGGTAGGCAAACTTATGAATAATCTTGTATTACATTTTCAAACCTTAGATTTAAAAAGCAAAATTTTTACGAATTCTTAACTCAAAAAAATTTGCTAATTTTCATGATTTTTCCATATTTTGTCAATTTTTGAACTTTAAATGCTTATCAAAAAAAAATTGGGACCAAGGATTTTTAATATTTTTGATCTGCCTCTGAAACAATATACTAGGAGCCTTCTATTAAATTTTCAAACTTTCGAAACCAACAAATAAAATTTAATTGATATTTTTAGAATAAAAACTAAAAAAAATGGAAAATGAAAATGTCCCTAAACATTTCAAAACAAATCATAATATTTTAAAAAATGTATCGTGTATAGAAAATGCAAATATAAACAACCAGTGAAAATGTCATGTATATACGTTAATTTGTTTTATAGTTACACCAAAAAACCAAAATCGATTTTTTGGAAAACAGATTTTGAGTAAAAATTTCCGTTATTCCTTAATTTTTATGTGTTTAATCCCGGCCCTTGTGAAAACTATTTATAATTTTAAAATATGACTTAATTTATTATTTAAAAATATTTTGTATTTAGATAGGAGGGGTGAAGTTGAAATAGACATTCAGCGAAATTTTCAGTCCACTCATCTAAATTCTAAAATTATACGGTTCTTATATGTCAAAATTCAATTCAATTTAAACATCAATATTCAACTTACATTAATTTGTGTTCTTGGTAAATAATTAGAATATACAAAAAAAAATTACAGGATTCTCAGACAGCATTAAAAACAATAAATGAAAAAAAAATTGGTATCAAAATTATTTAATGTATGCAAATTTAAATTTTAACATAAACTGTCAATCTATTATATTGTATATGTATAATGGTAATTGTTAATATATTATAATAACGCTTAAAATAATAAAATATGTATTCGTATTTGTGTATTACAACAAAATGGAGGGTAGAGAAAGAAAAATAATTTTAACCGAGAATAGTAACAAATATTGTTTATGAAAAGTATTGTTTTACGATTCCGAATGTATTATTTGGTATAAAAGTTTTTCAAAAATAACGCCTATTCAAAAATTGACTGTTACCTTCAATTAAATATTGATTATGAGTTCTGAGAGCATATTGTTAGCAGCCTTGACTAATTCACAGGTCTTCAGAGTCATACCTTCAAAAACTTTTTCTATCAATATTGTTTTTGGTTTTCTATGAATAAAATGTTTAAATCGGTCCTTAAAGGCTATTATTGTTTTTGGAATTTCTTCTAACTTTATTTTAATGAACGTACCAAACTTTTCGAATTGCATTTCTGTATTTTCTTTTAATTTGGCCACTTTTAAATACAGATCATTTGAATATTGTTCTGGGCCAAACACATCAAAATGTGGTATTTTTTTTTTAGATTTATGATTTGTAAGGTAATTTTCGATTATATTTGCTCTTTCCTTACATAGATCAAATACCATACTAGAAAATCGATCAACATTAGATACAAGTATCGATAAATTTGCGAGAAAATGTTTAGGATTAAGTAACATCTTATATTGACGGTAAAAGTCATAACAATCATTTAACCTCAATAAATTGGATTGATGATCTGCATTGATTGAGTAATTAACGAAAACGCACACTTTGTAAAATTCCGAACCCAGAATAAATTTGAAATATATATCATACAATTTGAACACATGAGAAGGGTCCATAGTAATTGCACATATGTTCTCGTATATTTCATCAATGTACTTCCTTTCACCTTTGTAAAAAAAACTGATCATGTGTTTGTATTTAGTGAAAAAATCAGTTTTATGTAGATAGTTTTCAAAAAAACAGTAAATATTTAAAAAACATGAGTAGTTTTCAACTATCGGTATGTGTAGGTAGTTTTCAAGGCTCAGCACAAATGAATTTAAACGTTTACTAAGTACATCATCATAACCTATAACCTCGAGATATGTACTGTTCAATAACAAGAAATTGAATTTTGGTGGCCTACAGTGGTCAATACCATACGTATTTAAAATAGACATTATCATTGACATTAAGATCTTCGATTGACTGAGTTTAAAATGATCAGTGTGCTTTGGATTCAAGACAACGTAAATATGGTATGACACTTTTAAAAGGTCCCTGCAGCCATTGTACGTACACCGTTCGATCACCTCAATGGACCACTTTCTAATCGTTGACAAAATTGTACTTACTTGCTGTGTATATTCGTGTACCACAGCATTTTCTCTGCCAAGAGTCATTTTTAAAAATGTGGTTGCTTCAAGACAGAGACTGTACAAATCTCTAACATATTGACACCTGCTACTTTCCGTTCGTTTATTATAACCGTTAGATCGAACGTTTTTTTCGATTGACACATCCTCGTACACAATGTGTTCGACTTTTGACAGATCTCTTATGAATGGTATGTAATATTTAGTGAATTCTTTGCGTAGAAATTTACACACCGAAATATAACAGTAAAACTTTTCACTGAGTGAATCCATATATGTTGTAAATTTATCTAAATCAGATACGTCTTGATTTTCAGTTCTATTATAAGTTTCTAAAATTATATTCTTAAACGAGTCACGAAGACCAGTTATCTTATTAATCAATTTTTCTTTAATATCATCAGTATTAATTGGTTTATTCTTTTCATAGGTATCATTTATTTCGCTCGTTAAATAATCAGTGACATCTGTTGGCAATTCTATGAATTTTGGTATTGACTTAACAATCTCTTCCGGCTTAGAAGTTCCTTTTTGCAAGGCTGTTATTATCTTACTGTATATTAATTTTGTAATTGCATCAAAAATTGATTCCTGATACCAAAATATTAGTTCAAGGTCACACTCACGCTTTTCATTTTTTTGTAGTATTTGGTAAATCTTAATTGTTTTAGAATTTGTATAAACTTCTGCGTGAGAAATCTCCCATAAAACAGGATGATCCGTGTTCTCAGCCACAATATTTACCAACAACATTTGATCTGTAGTACAATATTTGTTACTATCTTCTAAACCCATTTCATCTATAAGTTTGAAAATCTCTTCAATGAAATCATTTGTGTCAGCTGATATAGTTATCCAGAAATCGAATGAATGTGATGGTTAATAAAATATTCATCATCCGTAAAATATTTTTCATTATATGTGTGAACATCACAATTCGTGGCCATAAACATTTGAATTAAGTTCATTATTTCAAGAATTGAACGAACAACTACATCATCTGATGGCGGTTGACTGGTATCTACAGGTAGCGTCAAAAAGTGAATTTTAAATTGAAGTAATAACATTGTTTTTAATAACGACGTATCATTATCTCTGGAATCAGTGAGACGTAAAAAATTGTGCAGTAAAATATTTATGAAGCGTTGAACAAAAGAGTCAATTTCAATTAATTTATCAATTAGATTCGGTCTTACAAAATCATTATTAAACTCATTGTTATAAGTGTATTGAAATTTCGATTGATAATATATTGGAAATATTTCGATGAAATTAAATAGTCTATTCAGAAGCCATTCAGCAAATGAACAGTTCGTAGAAATATAAAATACACTCATGTACATATCTGTTTTTGTTTCTGCAGCTGCAGATGGAAGAAAATATCCATACAGAAATAAATCCACATCGTTAAGTTTAATACTGTATGACAAATGATCGTCTTTCAATATATTATGACGTAATGCAATGTTGACAGCATTCTCCAATTTTAATAATTCTGATAATTCTGATAAAACTGAAAAATTGTTCAACGTAACGCATAAAAATATTAATATAAAATTATATAGTTTAATATGCGACATTTTGATACAACGTACAATATTAGGTTCAAACTAACTACTGCGTATAAATTTGTTTCAATCGTTGTATTTGGTTTCTAAAACAAAATATATTTGTAATATTATTTACCAGACAAAATTACAGTATGTTCAGAAGTTGAACAGCTGTGTAATAAATTAGGTTTATTTTGTTTAAGCATATAGATAAATCCATAGGAACATTTAGTGATGAAGAATAAAATATAAATTTCATATCAAAAATTAAACTTAAACTCATGCAAAATATGATCAAATTAACAAAAGGTGCTCTGCTGTACAGTAGGTTACAAGTGAGTCACTGTATAATAGATGAAATTAAATTTGAATTCGAAAACAGATTTACTGTAAAATTCCTGTTTTTCCTTAATTTTTCTTTTGTTTTTTTAAGGCATTTTTAAAAACTACTAGAGAAATTTTACTTTTGAACACTCTGGTACTAAGTACCAACTAGATTCACTTTCCTATCAGAAAAAATACCGTTTAAGAAAATCGAAGCACTTTTACTGTCCTAAAAGGTTATGACAGCTACAAAAAAAAAAAACACACATCATTGTAAAATCAATGCATTCGTCGTTCCACTCAGCATCTATAATACTTATTTGGTGAATCAGAATCAGGTCAATGTCTTTGGTCAATATAAATTATATATTCATGCTTGTAAGCCTATTTTTATTGTTCGCATATAAGTTCTCGATCGGTGTTGCACTGTTGCTGATTGTCAACTCACGATTTTCAGCTTATACCGCTAGTCTACAACTATAACCAAATACCGCAAACGTCTCAATACGCATAACCTGGTCTCCGACTCAATAATAAAACCTTATATTTCTAAACTTCCCTAACATTAGTAGCACTTTGCATCTCATTAGTTACAATGTTACAATATTAATTGTGAAAATAATACATTATTCTGTTTTAAACTACCTTTGATCATTTTTTATAAGTGTAAAAACGTATTACAGTTGGATGCATATGCTTAGAACGCTTATACTATATATTGTACTATGAAAAATAAAATTATGAAATTTGATTATCAATTGTAAGAATACGCAACGCAGTTGTAAATATATTTTCAATGGTGCTTTTATTCTCACGTAACAAACAATTAATTTTTTAAATGTTACAATATTTTCTTTTCTTTAACAAATACTCTTCGAGTCACAGATACGTTTTTGTTTAATAATAATTTAAATTCAAAACTTACGTTGATTCTGTTGTATAGTTAATGTTGTTGGAATTGGCTATGTATATACTGTGACAATCGGCGGCCGGACTGTTGATCAGTTCGGAGTGGACGTCTACAGTAATAAACGGGAATCCAGCTACCGGCCGGTGGAACTTACTCGTCCTCGATGTTATCCGGTCCAGGTACAACCTTCCTTCAATGATCTCATTGAGTAGTAGAATCGCATATCCTTTGTATATTGGTGTGAAATAAAATACGTAGTGGCATCCGTGTACTGATCCGAGTAGGTACTTCGATTATATTTCGATAGTAATGCGCGAGTGGCAACTGAATTATATTGTTGTGAATGCGGCGACACGTTACGACGTCTTCGTTAGTCGTGATGGAACGTGTGGGTACCGTGGAGTTTCAGAATGGGCGGTGACGACGGACGTGCAGTTACCTCGAAGTTTCAGAACTGGCGGCGACCGGATATATGGGTATCGCAGCGTTTCACAACGAGCGGCGACAACGGACAGCGTTTCTCTGCCGTACGGTGAGACGATGCTTGAACAATGCCGTATCACTACGCACACCGTACAGAGGGTGCTGTATACCTTCTCCAACTCTTAGAATGTGAGTACCTTGAACAGTACGGTCAAAGCCGTACCACTACTCACACCGAAGGGTACGGAGAAGAATGTACCGAGAGGTACAATAACAGAGTCGCAGATTCCTCGGTAGAATCCGCTTAAATGAGTTTTAATTTAACTGTGAGAAGATAGAATTGAAAATAGTAAAAGTACAGTCGAACTGTGAATCGGTGTTTTGGTCATTGCTATTGCTGTTGCTTGTTCGGACGGCTTTTTTTTTCTAAGCCTGTGATACATTTCAGGCGTTAGCCTATGATTTGTGGAAGGATGTATTTGTTAATATGAGTTGGGTAGTATTTGGGTTAGGCGTTGGTCCAATGAAATGGTCTATTTTTAACCACATTCATGAAATACTGAATACTGCGGCGTACTAGGTCGTGTATATGTGGGTATTTTTAAAGTTCGTTTTTGTAAAATAATATTTTTTGTGTTTCGGAGAATGTACTCACGAATCCTGGGAAGGCCTGCTGTGTTTCGTAAAGTTGTATTGCAAATATAGTACAGTGCAGCAAGAATTTTTCTGAGAGCAATATTTTGAACGGTCTCAACTTTTGCATAGTTTGACTTTGACAAAGTTGGGCCCCAAGCTCAACCTGCATACCCGAGGATTGACCGTACATACGTACATATAATATATTCGTAGTTTTGTTTTAACAGGAATTGGACTTTTCCTACCAAGGACTGGGTATAGTATTCCACGGACTTTTGTATCTTTTTGGATGACTTAATATGAAGGCTGAAAGTTAAGTTTTTGTTGTAGATCAGACCGAGGTATTTCGCACTATTAGTCCAATTTATTTGGTGGTTGTTCAATTTTAGTTTCCTAAGGTTAACCGTTTGCTGTTTGTTGAAGAGAACCGCTATTATTTTTCCCGGATTAATCCGTATACACCATTTATTGAACCATTCAATTGCCTTGTTCAGTTGATTTTGCAGTTGGATTATTTCACGGTTGTGATTCCAGTAATAAGTGAAGAGCAGAGGATATTCTGCAAAAAGTGCAAGGTTTGCTTTTGGTGTCAGTTAAATGTCATTTGTGTAGATCCGGTAAAGTGTCGGCGAGAGGCACGATCCTTGTAGAACTTCTGCAGTAATTGGAGAATACTGGAAAGGGAGTTTTCTCGGTGAACTCTAAAAGTTCTCTTATCGAGGAAAGAATTAATTATTTTGGTTAAGTTTGTATGAGTGCCCATTTGGTGGATTTTATGAAGGAGGCCTTTGTGCCACACACGGTCAAAGGCCTTTTATACATCTAAAAAGACCACATCAGTTTTTTCTCTATTGTTTAGGTTGATAGTGAGATTGTCCAAAAAATTTACCAGCTGAAGCGTGGTTGAGTGTTCGTTTCTGAACGCGAATTGTTCCTTCCGAATTTTCGGTCCAATTGAAGCCTTAAGTTTATGGAGAATGTTTTTTTCAAATATTTTAGACAGAGAAGGGAGTAAAGAAATGGATCTATAATTTATAGATAAGCTGTGGTTTTTTGGTATTCTAAGAATTATAGCATTTTTCCAGACTGTTGGAAAATAGACAATTCTTAGACAGCCGTTTATTACACGTGTTAAAAATATAATCGCACTTTACGGCATAAGTTTCATTGCAGTATTAGTGATAGCATCTTCCCCAGAGGCTATGTTATTATTATTTTTTTTTTATGAGAAATATACAATCTATACTAGGTACTTAGCATAATAAGTATATCTGATAAAAGACTTAAAAAAACATGTAAGACTTGATTAAGAATGTCACCCACTATAGTGACTCGTTCTGCTTGAGGGATAATATATTTAAAAAAACTTTTTGTTTTTAAAACATAAATACAATCATTGTTAATTATCTAGTTCCGGTGTTCAGCATTCATTTTTATAATATTTAATATCAGTTATAAAATAATTATTTGGTTACCAAAAAGTTAAACGGTCTTCGCTCAAAATCGTTTTTTTTATCGTATATTATGGTTTGCCATTGAATTAATCGAACACATGTCCCATTCATCAACGAGATAGACTCGACTCCTACAACAGTACAACAGAGTTATATTGGTACCTATACTTTCGCCCATTTTGTTTTTACCATTTCGCTGACGATAGTATAAGCCGTTTAAGTAGTAGGTAGAATATAAGTCGTCGTCACCACGTTTCCGGCCACGATCTGACTTGACCATGTCCAAAGAGCTTCAATATCATCACCAGTAAAACAATATTGTAATCCTATGGGGAAAAAACCTTTAGCTCTAGAAAATGACTAAGAAGAAAAAATTGTTAAAATTTGGTTATGCGAAAATGTTACTGTGCGTTTAACGTTACACAATCTGAGGTAGACAGGCAATATGGACGATGCTTGCTTAAATCGCTGTTTTCGTGTTAGTTTTAGCTTCTTGAGGTATTGCGTCGGACCTTTTATATTTTCGATGTTTCGATGACCAATAAATTGAAGAAAGTTGATAAAAAAAAGTGGTGATCTACAAGGAAAATCTACGAATCATTAATAAAATGTTTTTGTTAATGATTCCGGGACAACGAAAACCTTAGGTACGAAAGGTAAATTGTTATTAAAAATTGATTAATAGTGTACCTATTGAATTTTGTCACAATATTATGTAAATAAAGCAAGAAAAATATGAAATGAAGCGATAACTTTACATATTAACTATATTAACCAGGAACCACATACCACTGCAGTGAAGCAATGGTTAACGAAATATTGTATTTAATAATCACTTATCGATCATTATCATTTTATGAAAATCCTGATTAGTATTATAATTCTCATATCTTGATAAGAAATAGAAAAAAAAACAAATTAAGCGATCACTCAACTATTTGAACGGTAAAAAAAATCTAAACGGTAATTTCTTTTTTGTAAATTTAAGGTTAAATAAAATTGTATACTGTACATTTACATGACCCACATCACAAGTTAAAATGATAAAACTCGAAACCATCAGACAAACCGCTTATATACGCTCAATCAAAACGACATAAAGCATTAGGTAAGTTGTGTAGAATTATGTATATTATATAAAAAAAAACAATTTATTCAATTCGTTAAACAACAAACAATCAATTTTTATTTTATTTATTCCTGATTCTATAATCTGAAGCAAAACAATGATAACCATTTTATTTTTATTAAAAGCTATAGGTATACATTTTTTATTTAAAAATATTTTTTATTTAGATAAGATGAATTAAGTTGAAATAGACATACATCGAAATTATCAATCTACTCATCTAAATTCTAAAACGATACAGTTCTTATGAACATCGACATTTTTACAATAATTTATGTTCTTGGTAAATAATAAGAATATACAAACAAAACTACAGGATTCTTAGACAACATTAAAAACAATAAATGAAAAAAAAACGTAGGTATTAAATTTATATAATAGATGAAAATTTTAATTTTTAACATTAAGTGTCATTCTCCTATATTGTGTCTAATGTTAATATCCTACTAATATTATAAACGTGAACATTTGTGACTTTTTTACTCTTTCAGGTAAAAACTAGCATTGGATCAGCTAGTATTATAATAACGTTTAAAATAATGAAATATGCATAACAACTTTTTATGTGCAGAGTAGAGAAAGAAAAATAATTGTAATCGAGAAGGTTAACAAATTATGTTTATGAAAAGTATTGTTTTACGATTCCGAATGTATTATTTGGTATAAAAGTTTTTCATAAATAATGTCTATTCAAAATTAACACCTGTTACATTCCATTAAACAGGTATTGACTATGAGATTTGTGAGCATATTGTTAGCAGTCTTGACTAAATTTCCGGTATCCACAGTCATATCTTCGAAAACTTTTTCTATCAAATTTGTTTTTTTAAGAAAAATTTTGTCAAAGTGATCCTTTATGGTTTCCGGAATTCCTTCTATTAATTTTGTTATGAAAATACCAAATTTTTCGAATTGCTTTTCTGTATTTTTTTTTAATTTGCCCACTTTTAAATACAGATTATTTAAATCGTCTTCTGTGCCGGACACTTCAAAATGTGGTATTTTTCCTTTAGATTTATGATTTGTGTGGTATTTTTGGGTTATATCTGCTCTTTGCATACATAGATCATATACCATTGTAGAAAATCGATCAACATAAGATACTAGTATCGATAAATTTGAGGGAAAATGTTCAATATCAATTAACTTCTTATAATATCCGAGAAAGTTATCGCAATCTTTAGACTGCAATAGATTCGATTTGGGATGAACTGCAATGATTGAGTAATTAACGAAAACAAACACTTTGTGAAATACCGAACCAAGAACAAATTTGAAATATATATCATACAATTTGAACACATGTGAAGGGTCCAAATTAATTGCACTTATGTTCTTGTAAATTTCATGAATGTACTTCCTTTCACCTTTGTAAAAAAAACTGACCTTGTCTTTGTTTTTATTGAACAAAGTCGTTTCTTCAAGAAATATTTTGTAAAAATTGTCAATATTTAAAAAAGTTGAGTAGTTTTCAATTATCGATATGTTTTGGTAGGCCTCAAGGCTCTGCACAAATGAACTTAAACGTTTATTAAGTACAGCATCATTGCCTATAGCCTTAAGATATGTACTGTTCAATAACAAGAAATTGAATTTTGGTGTACTACAGTGATCAATACCATAGGTGTTTAAAATAGACATTATCATTGACATAAAGATCGGCGCTTGGTTTGGTTTAAAATGATCACTGTGCTTTGGATTCAAGACAACGTAAATATAGTATGAAACTTTTAAAAGGTCCCTGCAGCCCTTGTACGTACACCGTTCGATCACCTCAATGGACCGTTTTCTAATCGTTGTCAAAATAGTATTTACATTCTGTGCGTATTCATACACCAAATCACTTTCTTTGTCGACAATCATTTTTAAAAATGTGGTTGCTTCGAGACAGAGACTGTACAAATCTCTAACATATTGACACATGCTACTATCCGATGGTTTATCATCCACAGAGGATTGAACGATTTCATTGATTGGCACATCCTCGTACACAATGTGTTCGACTTTTAACACATCTCTTATGAATGGTATGTATAATTTAGCGAATTCTTTGCTTAGAAATTTCCACACCGAAATATAACAGTAAAACTTTTCACTGTTTAAATCTATATATGTTGTAAATTCATCTAATTTAGAAACTTTTTGATTTACAGTTGCATTATCAGTTTCTAAAATTATACTGGTAATCGAGTCACGAAGATCAGTAATCTTTTTAATCAATTTTTCATTAATATCTTTTGTATTAATCAGTTTATTCTTTTCATTGTTATCATATAATTCGCTAGTAAAATAATCAGTGACATCTGTTGGCAATTCTATGAATTTTGGTATTGACTTAACAATCTCTTCCGGCTTAGAAGTTCCTTGTTGCAAGGTTGTTATTATCTTACTGTATATTAATTTCACAATTGCATTAAAAATTGACTCCTGATACCAAAATATAAGTTCAAGGTCAGATTCACGTTTTTCAATTTTTTGTAGTAGTTGGTAAATCTTAATTGTTTTAGAATTTGAAATAACTTCTGCGTGAGAAATTTCCCGTAAAACAGGATGATCCGGGGTCTCGGCCACAATATTTACTAATAACATTTGTTCAGTATTACAATATTTGTTACTATTTTCTAAGCCCAGTCGGTTTATAAGGTGGAAAATGTTTTTAATGAAGTCTTCTGTGTCAGCTGATATAGTTATCCAGAAATCGAAGAAATATGGTGATTTAATAAAATAATTATCATCAAAATAATATATTTTATTATAAGTGTGAACATCACAATTCGTGGCCATGAACATTTGAATTAAGTTCATTATTTCAAGAATTGAACGAACAACTACATCATCTGATGGCGGTTGACTGGTATCTACAGGTAGCGTCAAAAAGTGAATTTTAAATTGTAAGAATAACATCGTTTTTAATAAAGACGTATCATAATCTCTGGAATCAGCCAGATGTAAAAAATTGTGCAGTAAAATACCTATGAAGCGTTTAACAAAAGAGTCGATATCGATTAATTTATCAATTAGATTCGATCTTACAAAACGTTTATTAAATTCATTGTTATAAGTGTTTTGAAATTTCGATTGATAAAATATTGGAAATTTTTCGATAATTTTAAATAGTTTATTCTGAAGCCATTCAGCAAATGAACAGTTCGTATAAATATAAAATACACTCATGTACATATCTGTTTCTGTTTCTGTAGCTGCAGATGGAACTAAATATCCATACAGAATTAAATTTACATCTTTCAGTTTAATACTGTATGACAAATGATCACAGGTCGAATAACGAAATATATGATTTACGGCATTCTCTAACTCTGATAATTTTGATAACTCTGATAAAACTGAAAAATTGTTCGACGTAATGCACAAAAATATTAATGTAAAATTATATAGTTTCATATGCGACATTTTGACACAACGTACTATATTAGGTTCAAACTAACTACTGCGTCTGAATTTGTTTCAATCGTTGTATTAGGCTTATAAAATAAAGTATGTTTTATGTTTGAAATATTATTTACCAGACAAATTAAAGTTTGTTCTGAACCTGAAGTTGAACAGCTGTGTAATAAAATAGGTTGATTTTGTATATGCTTACCGATAAACCCATAGGAACATTTAGTGATGAAGAATAAAATATAAATTTCTCATAAAAAATTAAACTCAAACACTAAATACTAAAAAATACTTGAAACAGTATCAGATAAATTGGGGTAGTAATGTAGGGTTAAATTGAATCTTATAAATATGCTAGTCACGATTTTCGGCTTACACTGCAACTATAACCAAATATCTCAAACGTCTCAATACGCATAACCTGGTCTCCGACTTAATAATAAAGCCTTACATTTCTAAAGTTCCCTAACATTAGTAGCACTTTTCATATCATTAATTACAATGTTCTGTACAATTGTTCTGTTTTAAAAATACTTTTTATCATTTATTATAATTATAAAAACGTATTACTGTTATTTTGGCTGCGTATGCTTAGAAGCTTTTACTATATTGTATCATGTTCAATAAAATTATGAAAATTGATTATCAATGATAATAATTAGAATTCATTTAATATTTATATTTTTCGTGATATTCACAGTAGGACACGGTGCTTGAATTTGGTTCAACAAAAGGTCCGTAAAAAAAGTTAGTATAAGTACTTATGGGAACCACTCCTCTACACCATCGAGAATCATGGTTTTTTAAAAATAGTTTTGATATTTGGAATATATATTTTATAAATTATTTGTTTTTCATAGTTTCATACAATATAATTTAATCTCAAAAATGATCATATTTGTATACTAGAGCACATCGCAAAATGGTATCCACTGAATAGCTGATAGAAAAAGTGATCAATATTTTCAATTTTAGCCAATATAGAGGTAACTGATTCAATATGCTACTCCTTTTATTTTTTTAGTGTCCTGATATCTTATGGGTATAAGAGCCATTATCCGCTGACGAACGTGCGCGTTCACATATATATTATATAGAATGTTCACAAATTTATTAAATTTAAACCGTTACATTTGTCAGTGTCGCTGATATTTTCACGGGTTTACTCCCATGGTTCAAGCGGAGAGCAAAGCCCACTAAGAGAAGATTTCAAGTCAATATACGCTCATATTATCTACGTTGGATGTAACTACGAAATTGAATACATCAAAAACAGCTGGTACACGATACTTGAACGCCTTTAAAATTAACAAAAAAAAAAAATACATTGCAAGACAAACTACAAAATTTGTGTAAGAATTTCTCAAGAAAATAAATTATAATATAAGCCAATTTTAAATAATATAGCAAAATGTATAAAATAATATATTTATAATAATTATCCTTAAATTAAATATTGATTTTATCTACGTCTATGTATTTTTATTTTGTGTTCATTTTGATTGCAATTATTTTTTTTATTCATATGTTTTAAACATAATATTATGTAAATTTAACTAATTGAAAATTACTATGTATTTAAAACTATATGAACATTGGAAATTTTTTAGGATCATAAAAATTAAATTTTGAAGAGTACCCATATTCAGTTTTTTAATTTCGTTTGTTAAGAATTCTATGGACCGTATCAATATTCTGAAAATCTTCGTTTAGGAGGCCACCATTCCCTATCCTGTCCTATATACCAATATTATCATTTAATATTATAATAATTGGTATATTTCAACCTACCATTCGAATAAGGTTCATATTAACTACAACGTATAAAGTTATTAGTAGAGATGAGGACTTCTAGCTTTTTCATATTTATCTAGAAAGGCCACAGTGTGGGTGATTTAAGTATATATTTCGTAAAACAAGTAATATTTACACTCGACATTTTATTCAGCATATTTTTGCATAATTGGTCGTTATTGCATAGAAAAGAATATTTGAGCATGTATTAGAAAAAATAAGAATATATTTTGCTATTTTTCGATGCAATAAAATTAGTTTGGACGAATAAGAACATACTTTGAACAATTTTAAGTGTGAAATGTTGGTATTTGACAAATTAAGAGCATATTATATTATGTATACATTTAGAAACATTTTTTTAATGTGAGTGAGAAGAAAACGAAGTAGAATACTTCAGTAATTAATTTTTCAAGTTTTTATAAAGAGAATAATCAAACTATCTTTTCATACTAATTGTATAGTGTAAGTACTGAAATAAATATTATACATTTTTTTGAGTATATTTTTTGTATTTTTTGTATTTGAACCCATGTATGTAGATTTATAAGTACTAGAATTCTTCAGCAATAAGTTATTACTTATTAGTAATTTGTTGGATTGGATTTATAAAATTGAATATGACATAGGTATCTGTATAATAAATTACAATGAAATTCTTATTTGTATGGGTATGAACAGTGACTAGAACAATGCCATCAGTTGGTTATATCTATATTACATTATTATAGCATTTGATCAAACAATCATTCGTTCAACTGTACATTGTTCAATACACTAGTATTTTTTTTTCTTAAGGTTAGTACCTACCAATAACTATATAAGTATTTTGAAATGGTGATTTGGTAGTTTGGTATTTTAAAAATGATAAGCACTATACAATTGTTACATTATTTTATATACACGTAAATATAAATAACATGTGACATCAAGTCGTGCTGAGATAAAGAAAAAAACAATAAATTTAATGTTTTCTTATTTTTACAAATAATTTAGTACCCACCGATAATTGTATAAGTACATTGAAATGGTGTTTTGGTAGTTTGGTATTTTAAAAATGATAAGCATTATATTACTAAGCCACTATACAATCATAACATTATTTAAATACACGTAAATATTTATGTGACATAAAGTCGTGCTGAGATAAAGAAAAAACAATATAATTAATGTTTTCTTATTTCTTCAATCAAGGTCAAAACACCAAAACTCATAATACAAGTATTTTAAACCCGCTATTTATTGCTGGATTTATAAATCCGAAGAAGAACATTGAAGAAAATGCCAATAGAAAAATATTTTTATTTTTACACATTAACCCTTTCAGACCCGGATTTGATTGGATGATGATAGCCAATTTTAGTAAAAAGCTTTTTTCCTTAAAATTTTATCAAGATCAATTTTCTGCAATAATAATTGTTTTTAGTGTTTAACTTTTATCCGAAAGAATATAAATAATTTTTTTTTCTTTGTCCTGTAAAACAAAAATACGCATATTCGGGTGTTGCTACATTGTTCTACGTGTAAAATTAATTACAGTAGATAAGAATAAGCAAAATAAAGCATGTTCCCTGGGCATAGGTTCTGAAAGGGTTAAGTGTTTGGATAAAAAGAGTAAAGTTGAATAAGAGAGTATCCCTCGATTTGCTTTTCTATGCTTTAAAAATATAATAAAATAAAATAATTCATTCAATATTTAACACAACTTTATTTTTTTTACAATTTATCCTAGGTACATACTTAACATATGAGGTTTAAACTTTGACAACATTAAAAACAATAAAAAAAAAAACATAATAATAATAGATACAAGTTTTATTTTTATCACACTTCGGATTCATGGCCCTATCTATTTATGATGGTTGTAATTTATTAAAATATTATTATTGACAAGTATAAAATAATATAATGTGACGTTGTATTTGAATTTAATTGCGTATTTATAGAGTAGTCTATATAATATACATTTAGCGTAAAATATTTTTACAATATTATAGTTTTTGAATTTTATTTCCTAAATGTAATAAATAATTATACTTAAAATATTTTCAAAAATAATGTCCATTTCAATAACCATTATTTTTCAACTTAGTCATTATTATTCTCTATGAAGCGTTTATACACGTCGTTAATAGACCTGACTGAATCTCGGAAAATGAATGTCATGTTTTTACAAATATCTTCAACTTTAAGTGCTTGTGCGATATCACCATTAGTTTTAAAGTAGTATGCAGTGAACGACGAAATTTCCATGGGTTGTACGAATATTCCAAATATTTCGATATTATAAATATTAAATATTATCCTGCGAAAATAATGTATGGACTTTATCTACTAATACCCATAAATATTGTGAAAAATTGTTATTATCAATTAATATACGACAAAGGTAATTGCTCACATTCCTCAGTATTCAACGTGTCTGTGTTGGGCTTTCTCGCTCTGTTGTTGCTATTAATAAAAAACCCGTATTTTAAAATACATTGCACCAATTATAAATTTAGAATAAAAATCATGAAATCCATAAACATTCGAAGGGTGCAAAATTATTGTTCATATAAAATAGTAAATTTCATCAATATATTTCATCTCTCATTTCCAATAAAAAATAAAGTGTGCTTGTCATCTGTAAAAAAAATGCTCTCCGTCAACGTGCTTTTCTTTAAAGTCATCAATATCCACAAACTGTTTGTAATTCAAATTTATCCGTTCGTGCTGACTGGTTCTAAGATTCTCCACAAATGAGTGTAAACGTTTATTAAGTATATCTTCGTTGCATATACCCTCGAGACATGTACTGTTCAATAACAAGAAATTGAATTTTGGTGGACTACAGTGATCACTACCATATTGATTTTAAAAAGACATAGTCATGGTAAGGATCTTCGTTTGATGGAATTTAAAATGTTCAAGGTGCTTGATAATCATGATGGCGTATATATCGTATAACATTTTTAAATGATCCCTACAGATTTTGTGCGTATACCATTTCATTACATCAATTTTCCGATATCTAATCATATTCAAGAATATATTTACTTCCTCGGTATATTCGTTCACAACAGCATATTCTTTGTCAAGAGTCATTTTTGAAAATGTTATTTTTACGAGACAAACACTGTACAAATATCTAACATATTGACACCGACTATCTGATAGTTCACCATCCACATACGATAGAACGATTTCATCGATTGGCACATCGTATTCTATGCGTAAAAATTTAAACTCCGAAACAAAACACAGTCCAAATCATATGTGTTTGAATTTATATATTTTGTAAATTCATTAAATTTAGAAACGTTTTGATTTTCAGTTGAATTATCAGTTTCTAAAATTATATTGGTAATTGAGTCACGAAGATCAGTTATCTTTTTAATCGGTTTATTAATTTCATCGGTATCATATGTTTGGCTCGTAAAAGAATCAGTGACATCTGTTGGCAATTCTATGCATTTTTGTATTGACTTAACAATCTCTCCCGGCTTAGAAGTTCCTTGTTGCAAGGCTGTTATTATCTTACTGTATATTAATTTTGTAATTACATCAAAAATTGATTCCTGATACCAAAATATTAGTTCAAGGTCACACTCACGTTTTTCAATTTTTTGTAGTATTTGGTAAATCTTTATTGTTTTAGAATTTGTATAAACTTCTGCATGAGAAATCTCCCATAAAACAGGATTATCCGGGTTCTCGGCCACAATATTTACCGACAACATTTGATCTGTATTACAATATTTGTTACTATCTTCTAAACCCAGTTCGTCTATAATTTTGAAAAACTTTTCAAAGAAATCATTTGTGTCAGCTGATGTAGTTATCCAGAAATCGAAGAAATGTGATGATTTAATAAAATCATCTACCTACACAATATTTTGTATTTTAAGTGTGGACATGAACTTGTGAACATCACAATTCGTGGCCATGAGCATTGAAATGCAGTTCATTATTTCAAGAATTAAACGAACAACTACAATATTATCTGATGGCGGTTGATTGGTATCTGAAGGGAGCTTCAAAAAGTGAATTTTAAATTGTAATAAGAACATTGTTTTTAATAACGACGTATCCTAATCTCTCGAATCGGCAAGATGTAAAAAATTGAGCAGTTAAATAATTATAAAGCATATAACATAAGAGTCGATATTCCTTAAATTATCAATTAGATTCGGTTTTACAAAACGTTTATTAAATTCATTATTATAATTGTTATGAAATTCCAATTTATAAAATATTGGGAATTTTCAGATGAATTTAAATTTAAATAGTTTCTACTGAAGCCATTCAGCAAATGAACAGTTCGTATAAATATAAAACATATTCAAGCACATATCTGATTTTTGTTTTGAAGCAGATGGAACCAAATATCCATGTAGAAAAAAATAAAACAGTTTAATATTAAATGATAAATGATTATCGGTCAAATAACGTAACATATCGTGGAAGGCCTTAACTAAGTCTAATAATTCTGATAAAACTGAAAAATTGTTCGACGTAACGCACAAAAATATTAATATAATATCATAAGCTTCATAATATGCGACATTTTTAAACAACTTACTATATTAGACTGACTCCTGCGTATGAATTTGTTTTTAAAACAATGATACCAATTTTATTTTATTTGATATAAATATAAATATTTTATTCAAAATTATTTTACAATAATTTATGTTCTTGGTAAATAATTAGAATATACAGATAAAACTACAGGATTCTTAGACAACATTAAAAACAATAGATTAAAAATAAACGTAGGTATTAAAATAATTATATAATAGTTGAAAATTTTAATTTTTGACAAAAACTGTCAATCTACTATATTGTATATAATATTAATATATTATAATAACGCTTAAAATAATAAAATATGTATTCGTATTTGTGTATTACAACTATGCGGGGATTAGAGAAAGAAAAATAATTGTAACCGAGAAAGGTAACAAATATTGTTTATAAAAAGTATTGTTTTACGATTCCGAATGTATTATTTGGTATACAAGTTTTTCATAAATAATGTCTATTCAAAATTGATACCTGTTACCTTCAATTAAATATTGATTATGAGTCTTGTGAGCATATTGTTAGCAGCCTTGACTAATTCGCAGGTATTCTCAGTCATATCTCCAAAAACTTTTTCTATCAAATCTGTTTTTTTGAATTTTTTAAGAATAATCTGTTGAAGTCTCTCCATAAAGGTTAACGGCGTTTCCGGGATTTCTTGCATTATTTTTGTTATGAACATACCAAATTTTTCAAATTGCTTTTCTGTATTTTCTTTAAATTTGCCTATTTTTAAATACAGATCATTTGAATAGCCTTCTTTGAAAGAATCTTTAAAATGTGGTATTTTTTCCTCGGATTTATTTTTTTTTTGGTAGTTTTTGGTTAACTCTTCTCTCTGCTTACATAGATCATACACCATCGTAGAAAATCGATGAACATTAGATACAAGTATCGATAAATTTGAGGGAAAATTTTCAATTTTAAGTAACATCTTATATTTATCGTGAAAGTCATCACAATAATCAAACCGTAATACACTCGATCTGGGATGCTTTGCAATGACTGAGTGATTAGCGAAAACCCACACTTTGTAAAATACTGAACAAAGAATAAATTTGAAATATATATCATACAATTTGAACACATGCGAAGGGTCCAAAATAATTGAACTTATGTTATTGTAAATTTCATTAATATACTTCCTTTCACCTTTGTAAAAAATACTGATCTTGTAATTGTTTTTAGTGAACAAATTTGTTTTTTCAAGATAGGTTCTAAAAAAATTGTCAATATTTAAAAAAGTTGAGTAGTTTTCAACTATTTTTACTTTTCGGTAGACCTTAAGGCTATACACAAATGAATTAAAATGTTTATTAAGTACACCATGATTGCCTATAGCCTCAAGATATGTACTGTTGAATAACAAGAAATTGAATTTTGGTGGATAACAGTGATCAATACAATAGGTATTTAAAATAGACATAATCATTGACATGAAGATCGGCATTTGGTTGTATTTAAAATGATCACTATGCTTTGGATTCAAGAGAACGTAAATATGGTATGACACTTTTAAAAGGTCCCTGCAGCCTTTGTAAATACACCGTTCGATCACCTCAATGGACCATTCTCTAATCGTTGACAAAATTGTATTAACTTGCTCGGCGTATTCATGCGCCACAGAATCTTCTTTACCAAGAGTCATTTTTAAAAATGTGGTAGCTTCAAGACAGAGACTGTACAAATCTCTAACATATTGACAACTGCTACTTTCCGTTAGTTTATCATCCACATTGGATCTAACGATTTCATCGATTGCCCCATCATTGTACACAATGTGCTCGACTTTTGACGGATCTGTTATGAATGGTATGTAATATTTAGAAAATTCGTTGCGTAGGAATTTACACACCGAAATATAACAGTAAAACTTTTCACTGTTTAAATCTATATATGTTGTAAATTCATCTAATTTAGAAACGTATCGATTTTCAGTTGCATTATCAGTTTCTAAAATTATATTGGTAATTGAGTCACGAAGATAAGTTATCTTTTTAATCAATTTTGCTTTAATATCATCAGTATTAATTGGTTTATTCTTTTCATAGGTATCAATTATTTCGCTCGTTAAATAATCAGTGACATCTGTTGGCAATTCTATGAATTTTGGTATTGACTTAATAATCACTTCCGGCTTAGAAGTTCCTTGTTGCAAAGCTGTTATTATCTTACTGTATATTAATTTTTTAATTGCATCAAAAATTGATTCCTGATACCAAAATATTAGTTGAAGGTCACACTCACGCTTTTCAATTTTTTGTAGTATTTGGTAAATCTTGATTGTTTTAGAATTTGAAATAACTTCTGCGTGAGAAATCTCCCATAAAACAGGATTATCCGGGTTCTCTGCCACAATATTTACCAACAACATTTGATCTGTAGTACAATATTTGTTACTATCTTCTAAACCCATTTCATCTATAAGTTCGAAAATCTTTTCAATGAATTCATTTGTGTCAGCTGATGTAGTTATCCAGAAATCGAAGAAATGTGATGATTTAATAAAATATTCATCAGCCTTAAAATGTTTTTTATTATAAGTGTGAACATCACAATTCGTGGCCATGAACATTTGAATTAAGTTCATTATTTCAAGAATTGAACGAACAACTACATCATCTGATGGTGGTTGACTGGTACCTGAAGGGAGCGTCAAAAAGTGAATTTTAAATTGTAGTAATAACATTGTTTTTAATAACGACGTATCATAATCTCTCGAATCGGCGAGATATAAAAAATTGTGCAGTAAAATACTTATGAAGCGTAGAAGAAATGAGTCGATATCACTTAATTTATTAATTAGATCCGGTCTTACAAAACGTTTATTAAATTCATTATTATAATTGTTTTGAAATTTCAATTGATAAAATATTGGAAATTTTTCGATAAATTTAAATAGTTTATTCTGAAGCCATTCAGCAAATGAACAGTTCATATAAATATAAAATACATTCATGTACATATCTGTTTTTGTGTCTGTAACTATAGATGGAAGAAAATATCCATACAGAATTAAATCCACACCGTGGAGTTGAATACTATATGACAAATGATCATCGGTCAACATACTATGACGTATTGCAATGCTGACATCATTTTCTAATTTTAATAATTCTGATAAAACTGAAAAATTGTTCAACGTAACGCACAAAAATATTAATACAAAATTATATAGTTTAATATGCGACATTTTGACACAACGTACTATATTAGGTTTAAACTAACTACTGCGTATGAATTTGTTTCAATCGTTGTATTTGGTTTCTAAAATAAAATATGTTTCTAATATTATTTACCAGACAAAATTGCAATAAGTTCAGAAGATGAACAGCTGTGTAATAAAATACGTTAATTTTGTTTATGCTTACCGATAAATCTATAGGAGCATTTAGTGAGGAAGAATGAAATATAAATTTCGTATCACAAATTAAACTCAGTCATGCCAACCATGATCTTAAAAACAAAATTCTTATTTTGTAATTTCAGATTACTATCAATGTCAGGGGCCAATTAAAAATTGTATGTTCATGCTTGTCAAGACAAGTTTTATTGTTCGTTTGTAAGTTGTCGATTAAGATACGCTTAATAAGAATGAATTATTTTGTTTTTATCAATTTTAAATTGAATCTTATAAATATGCAAGTCACGATTTTCGGCATACATTGTAACTATAACCAAATATCGCAAACGACAGTCAAACTGTGCACTGCACCGCGACGGCTCATTAGAATGAAATATTTTATTTTTTGTCAATTTTAAATTGAATCTTATAAATATGCTCGTCACGATTTTCGGCTTATACAGCTAGTCTGCAACTATAACCAAATACTGCAAACGTCTCAATGGGTATAACCTGGACTGTGACTCAATAATAAAACCTTACATTTCTACAGTTCACTAACATTAGTAGCACTTTCAATCTCATTAGTTAAAATGTTACATTATTCATTTTTGAAATAATAAATATTTAACAATATTGTTTTGTTTTAAAAATACTTTTCTTCATTACTTACAAGTATATAAATGTATTACTGTAAGGTTGGCTGCTTGTGCATAGAATGCTTGTACTCTATTGTATTATGTTCAATAAAATTATGAACATTTTAATAATTATTAGTATTAATTTAACCCCCTTGTAACCTACTGTACAGCCGACATCCACTTACCCTCTTTTTTTATTCATTTGTTTTAAACATAATATTATGTTAATTAAACTAATAAATTGTCAAATTAAGTTTTATTTAAAACTATATGAACATTGTGAAATATATTAGGATCATAAAAATTAAATTTTGAAGAGTACCCATATTCAGTTTTTTAATTTCTTTTGTTAAGAATTCTATGGACCGTATCAATATTCTGAAAATCCTCATTTAGGTATCCCGCCGTTTCGAATCTTGGCCTATTTACCGATATTATCATATATTCATTAATATATTTCAACCTACCATTCGAATAAGGTTCATATTATTAACTACAACGTATAAAGTTATTTACGTCTAGCTTCTTCATATTTATCTAAAAAGCCCACGGTGTGAGTGATGTATAGATATATTTCGTATAACAAATAATTTACACTTGAAATTTTATTTTGCATATTTTTGCATAATTTTTTGTCATTGCATAGAAATGAATATTTGAGCATGTATTAGAAAAAATAAGAATATATTTTGCCATTTTTCGATGTAATAAAGTTAGTTTGGAAGAATAAGAACATACTTTGAACAATTTTAAGTGTGAAATGTTGGTCTTTGACAAATTAAGAGCATATTACAATATGTATATATTTAGAAACATTTTTTAAGGTGAGTGAGAAGAAAACGAAGTAGAATACTTCAGTTATTAATTTTTCAAGTTTTTATAAAGTGAATAATCAAACTATCTTTTCACATTAATTGTATAATTTAAGTACCGAAATTCATATTATATACCTATAATAATCTATAGTAGGTACGATAAATATAGCAATCTTATAATGATAATATTACAATAATATTATCATTACAAAATTACATAATTTAAATACATACGTTTAATCATATTTTCTAAATCTTTGCATGAATCTGGACTCTGGAGGATTAGACATACCATACGAATACGTACTCGCAAATTTCAAATTTGTAACAAACATCTTTGACACATTTTTTGAAGGTCAGTTAGAATTTACGAGGAAGAATATTATCAACGAGATAGAAATCCTAAAGGCCTTGTGCGTCACCGAAGAACGTAGTCGTTTGATTATTTAATATAAATTCACATTTATTACTCAAATGTTCTAAAATAGCTCTTAGATTATAATACAGTAATGACATGTTAAATTTTAAATTTTAAATAAACATCATACAATGCATAAACATTGTAAATGTCCAAAATGTCGAATTTTACACTATCCCAAATTGTATAAACAGTTTTCAATTCCCCTCTCCAGTAAAACCATATATTACCATTACATAATGTGTCAGTACAAAATGTTTTAATTTTTTGAATCGTAAAGTAAAGATTCGGTAAGGTACTTACAAGAGAACTTGTTTTAGTTAGAACAAACTTTGACCACTTATCTATTATTGCCTGGTTGTCATTTCTGTGATCTCCCATTATGTCGTAAACGATAGTGTTAAAAAATTAATTCTCATATTTATCATTTGTGCAAGCTTCAAGTCCGTACTTATTTAACACTGTCATTTTTATGTATAAAATCCGAATAAATTCTATAATATTTTCACTATCCCAATTTTTTTTCTTGTATCTTTTGACCTCCAGAACTCTCATAATGTTCAACAATAGTTCAATTAGACAACAATCACTCATCTTTAGTTTATATATGTGTTCCAAAACCTTAGATCAATAAGCTTAGAAACTACTTCGTTATTTAGGTTACTGATTTCTAAGGGCGAATTTTCGTTCCAAATTAGGGCTAAGCAATATTCAACACAATATTCTTACATATTAATAAATAATTCACACATGTTGTGATCTATACTCACTGATCTAAATTTTAGACTTTCCATAATAATCATTGATTTTATCATATAAGTATCTATTTAACGATTCTTTCCAATTGTCACCTTCAAGTTCCGATAATATACGGCTATACACAAATTCATATACTTTAGATGGGTTCCTCATTTTAGACAGGCAATTTTGTTTGTGTTTTGATTTTTAGAAGTTCAAAAATATTAACAAAACATTTATAATCAGAAACTCGGTTAATTATTGAGTTCACAAATTTTTTCAACGGTGAACCTAGATTATCCGGCGTGTGAAAAAATTTTCAATTTTGAAAAATGGGAACATCTTCGATGAATCTGATTCATAATCAATACTTGGCAAACTAAATTATTTACGATGATATTCTCCCGTTACAGTTATCAGTTCACTCCTTTCAGCGTTTGTAAGCTCTTGGTTCGACGCCAAAAAATTAAAACATTCAATTACTTTCTCCGAATCGATCGTCAACTCGGTAAATAAAAAGCTCAGTATTTTAAATCTTTCAGTAATTTTAATGTTCATCACCCGTCTGTGCTTCAACTGAGAAACGGTTTTCTCGCAAAATAGTCTTATTATTGCATCTAATACGATATCTATATACCAGTATATTACATCGAGATCGTTGGGTTCTTCAATCGCGTGGAAAAACTTTTCGTCAATTACCACGAATTTTTCCATTTCCAAATACGTGCCCTTTTCAGTACTTGCATTACAATATCGTCTATCGAAGTCAACACGTATCCCAATAACATTTGTCGTACACTGCACTGTTCGAGTAGTGTTTCCAAACCGAACTCCGTTAGTTCATTCAAAAATTAATGTCAATGTGACATCTATCCGTCTTCGGTTTATTCATCGAATAGCTTAAAAAATATTTGTTATCTTAATACGAATATACAACATCACAATTGAAAGCCATAAACTTTTGAACCTCGTTTACTATTTTTAGAATTTTATTAACTATTATATCAACTTTCGATTTTCCGTCGTGTTGAGAAATATTTTGAATTAGGATATTTGTCGACACCAAAATTCGAAATAAAAACATATCGTCCAACGAATTATAACTGTATTGTATGAGTGTACAGTTATATATTTGAACAGTATGCTGATGAAGTGTTTCGTCTTTTCCTCAATATATTCGATATGTTTTTTTGAATCACCGTGGTCCAGAATACAATAATTTTGATTCTTGTCTACATTTAATGTTTTGTGCATATTCGGGAGTTGCTCGACGAATTCGATTAACTGATTTTGAACCCACTCGGCAAACACGCAGTTTATACAAATATACAACATCATTGACTTACTTTCAGTATTATCACCAATCCATGCATTGTTCTGGGTCTCAAATGGTCTTGACGAGCTGTACATGTATATCCTATGTTCTTTACGAATGTTATCGACGCCAAATATATCAACCAATGTTACTCCCCTATCAATTCGTTAGCCCAATACCGATTTTTCGTCAATGTGTTGAAATATCATAAGTATATCGTCATGACCTACTTCGAGAGTTTGAACTTTCGGAAGTATTACATCGCCGTTAGAATCGAATTCGTACGTCATCGTCGGAGGTGTTTCGTCTGCAGCATCATCTTCGGACGTTGTCCTCGGAAGTGTATCGTTTTGGAAGTTGATGCCATGTCACTTGAAAAATCCACTTTGGACGTTAACGGCGTGTTGCTTGAAAATTCTGTTCCAGACACCGTATCACTTGTATGTTTTAATCCGGTCGTTAACTTTATGAGGCACAGAACGATGAAAAACAGTCTGTTTTCAAGCCACATAGTGTACCAAAACGGTACCAATACTATTGCGATTGCCTTTGGTGCGTTATATTGTTTTTACGTCATTACTTGCGTTGTGCACGTTGAATACTGTTTGTTCAATAAACATAGCAACAAATTCGTTCGAGGCACTGTACATCTGTACTTACCAGACACGTTAAACAAAGTATTGGACGACAAAGACATTATATGATTTTTTTCGTTGTTGCGATCGACTTTCGAACATTAAAATATTATTGCCCAGCAAAATGTTTTGTATTATCTAGGTAATTTTTTTTTATCTGTTCACAACGCCGTCATAGCGGATTTCGTCGTACTATAACCTACAAACGATTTTCGCGACAGATGCTTACAACAAATTGTTGTCAATTATTATTATGGAACAAAAATAATATTCGGAGTCGACAAAAATTAATATTTTTCCCTGCTTTGAATGAATTAATAATATCACAAATAATGGTCGTGTATGTTGCAAATTTAGTATTTACCGCTGAGAATATTAAAATCGATTTCCCAACACACCCATTTCTCCTGTCATTCAAAGTCTTAGAAAAAACTAATTATTCCTTAAACTGTTCAACCGTGCTCAAATTCCACCAATTCACCTGTTATGATCAAAATATTGTGAAACGTCTAAAAATCAAATACTACTTTATTTTTTTATATTTTAATTTTATTCAGGTTGAATAAAATCTTCACAGTTGTACACAATTATATTATAGTAATACATCACTAGCTGATCCTTTACGTAGTATTCCGAAAAAAAAATAAAATATGATGCCGGTATCAATAATCGATATATATCCGTTAAATTTAAACCGCACATAATTTTAACACAGCCGTTTTGGGTGGTTTTGACCAAATATAAAATACAGTTCGAAAATAATATTCCAATATTATAAAACTGTTTTGTTTTCTGTGACCAATGGCAACCCTAGACGAACAATGATCGTTTTTCGTGAGCCAACAAACCCCTGTGTGAGCCACTCTTTAAAATGTGAATTTCGGAAGTGCGCCCCGAAATGGAGTTACGAAAATACCTACTGTGAACATTACTATATAATATATTATATTTTTATATTACAGTATTGTAATAGGCTCAAATAGCACAGTGACTTTATTTTATTCAACCAATGAAGCAACCATAAAACAATAAATATTCGTGAGTCAACGAAACCCTACGTGGCCCCTCTCTTTAAAATGTAAAATTAAATTATAATAAAATTAATTTTCTTTAAGCAACACGTCCTTGGGTATAGGAATCTATGAATCTAATTTTAAAACGATCAATTTCGATCAACTTTGTTGTATATCACTTACAAACACACACTCACACACTCAGATACAAGTGTGTTATTTTTTGTGTCTCCGAAGACACTTATTCCAGTAGAAAAAATTCTTGTATCACATATCTATTTTATTCCTACTGCTGTAATACAACTCGCCAGCAGTTACCAATACTTTTCCCCTTTTTGAAAAAAAGTTATTTTATTTAATGGCAATTATTTGACAATTTATTAAATCATAAATATATATAATATATATAGTATATACATAAAATGTACCTGATTCTCGAGGAGAGTTTTCTCACGGACCTTCCCCCCCCCCACCCGCCTAAATAGACCGCCACTACCTGATACCTCCTGCAAAGACCACTGCGGTGATAAAGACGCGTATTATACAGCAACACCACTATACAATATAATATGCCTTTTTTCGTTGTCATCGGGCTTGCCAAACAGGAGGTACTACTCCTGTCCGTGAAATTGTCTTCGTGAAATTGCGCTATACATAATATTATTACAATGTTAAGCCGGAGTCGACAGGACGGAGAGACCGCAGAAGAAAACGCGATACGCGGTGGCGGCACATCGAGATGCGACCCGTCGTGAGCTCAATAATAAATTACGATATTATATCAAATAATATCATAATAATATGTAGTCGAACACACATATCGTGCGGGTCGGCTCGTCTGGCGTGTCGGCCCAGTTGTTTGATGTAAATATTTCCAAACAAAGAGGCGGTCTCTGCGCAAAAGAAGAACCGGGAGGAGTACGCCCAACAGGTAGGTTGCGTATAGTCCTGTTGCAGGTATAAGGTATAAGGTACATAAAGGTGCCGGGTTGTCTTCGGGCGGCAGAATATCACTACAATATAATATAGGTACCGTCTATCGCACTTTTATCCGGACGAATCGACGGCTCCTTTTGCGAGTATACCGTGAAAAATCGATTGCCATCCGTATAAATTATACATTATATACATCTTGCTCACAGTCTTCGTGAGCTGAGACCAAACTCTGTATAATATTATTATATATATTTTAATAATATAATAAATACACATTATCGTTCATTGCGGGGACTCGCGACGCCGATTTGTCGGACCACCCGTCCGTCTCGTTTAGTATAGATACGTTTCCTGCACATTACAATATTGTATTATGTTGTCGTTCAATATTATTATTGTGTTGCCGACCCACAATGACAGCGAGTTACGCACGGCGGTGTGTGGTACAGCTCTGAGACGTAATTTTTATAATTTTTTTTTGGCTGGTGGTACCAACGTTTGTGTTGAAATATACCGAGTGTTTAATCCGAAACGCGACAATAAGTGAATTACTAGATTTCGCATGATTTCTTCGAGAACCGACGATATTCGATCGAATTCGGGGGGAGGAGTCAATATGAATGACATCAAAAATTACAACGAGACGTGTTCTTCACGATATAGTGTTTACAAATCACAGCCATGGAAACGAACCACAACAAACGGAGAATTTCCGTTCGAAAACGGTTCCTCGGAGGTAGTTATGATGGTAGGTATGATGTTTTAGTAAGTTATAGTTGTCACATTGTCACATTTGTCATTCCGTAATATTATAGTAAATTATTTAAGCCACAGAAAAAAAATACAGTTAATTATTCACAGACGACTTACGTGTACACCAACCAATATACTCGCCACTCGCGTATAAATGCATTTTTTTTTTTTATTTATTTGAAGAAATCTACAATCTATACATGCTTTTTGTACAATAAGTAGGTTTGATATATGAAAGGTAAAATATGATATGAGTAGTTAGATTAGGGAAGATACCCAGTGGTAACACCCTATGATAAATGCATTTAAAACATTAATTCGTCCAAACTATCAGTGTGACGAGTTCGTCCAGTAACAGGGCCGAACGCAGGAAAAAATTTCGGGCGGGTTTTGAAAAAATTTAAAGTAGGTATTTATAAATATCATATTATTCAGATAATTTATTTTTTGTATCTGCTATTTTGAGGGGGGGATTACTTTCCAATTTTTCCAATTTTTAATTTATTAGGAAGGTTTGTAGACTTTTTTGGGGGGATCAGTTTTTCATTAATTTTTTTGATATTTTTATTAATTTCTGTCAATTAGGACTTTATACACACATTGCACAAATTTATTTTTTTTTTGAATTTTTGTCTTAAAAATATTTAATACAATTATACACCATATTTTACACTTGATACTTTTTTATATTTTTTAAATTATGATTCCTAAGTACGTACCTATAACTATATTTATAGAGCATTTTATACTGAATTTTGTAGGCTATTAACAAACATGTATTACAAAGGTTCTATTGGTGCATTTTCCAGTGCATTGTTTTAGGGGGGTTTTAATGCGTTACATGGAGTATTGACAGCCCTAAGTACTTTTTTTTTCGGAAAACGAATAGTTAAAAAATGCACCCATATATTGTTTCCGTGTCTGCGGGTCACGACGGATGCTTGATTATTTATTTATCGACGACAAATCCGCTCGTTTTACTGGAACAATATACCCCAGTGCACCCCCGTTTTTGACCTTCTGACTCTGCGTCTGGTTTCTTCCCTCGAGCACGACACACCAGGCTCGTTATCATCGGTACAGTTGGGTGGGTGGTGGGTTGGCGAGGGGTAGGTCCCGGTCGGGGTCACACACGCGAAAACACTGCGGCACATCGCCTCGCTCGCAACCCATCACGCACGCAACACATCCGATTTGCCTATACACGAAGTACCTATACAACACGATATTATAATATAATATTGTCATCATATAAGTAGGTACTACGCCGATGGTACTATTTTGGTACCAACAACAAAAATAATAATAATAATTATCGTTTCCGATATTATATCATAATATATTAATATTATTATACCTATATACATACTCGACTATTGTTATTGTTGTGGTTGTTACCAAAAAACTAGTCCCGTGCGCTGTCGACGACCCCCCTCGCACAGCACCGCACTTGGACGTATTATAATGTTAATAATAATAATATGAATATAATGATACAGTCGATCGACTCGTCCGACAAGTCATCGTGTCGGCTGCACGTGTTTCGTATTATATGACATACGTACATATATAGGTGCCTAACCTATACACATCATTGTACGGTATCGCGACTTGTACACAAAATGTATAATATAATATGAAACCCGACACCGCCGCCGCATTGGCGTGACTCGGACGTAAGTGATTATCGGTCCTTATCGTCGAAAAAATCGTTCGTTGTGTACACGGGCACATAATATTATTATGTAGGATTTTTCGAAACGTCAGAATAGCGAAAATAAAATATATACAAACGAGCGTGTAGATGAATTTAATAACAATAATAAAGTATATAAAATTTTCGTCGATAATTTCAAGAATGTGGTGACGGACGCGGTCGCATTTATTCGGATGACATTTCGGCGGCGGACTTGGCTTGGTTGTTAGGCGCATAGATAATATTATAGATAATACATAATACACATGGATGGGACTTATATTTAAGTGTGATAGAGGAGCATACCAGTTATCAAAAAAAAAGGTTTGTGTAATGATTTAAATATTATAAACTTAAATTCCTTGTATTTGAAAAACATATGTTTATTAAATGTATATAATGTGGAAGATGACTTTGGGGTTCCGAATCATAACTGTACTTGCCTTAAATGATATTGACTCTACAATGATAAACATTTTTGGGCAACATAGTCCTAAGTACACATTTATACAACATTGCTCGAATACAACTTTGTATCGAATACTGTTAAGCTAATCATTTATCACTCAATTATAGCTTTTCGTTAATTCCCAGACAACGCTTTAGTTTCTACTTTTACTCAGACAAGACAAATAATTTAATATCCAGCCTACAGTTTAGAAACGCTCACC